AAAAAATAACTTGGTCTAAGATAACAGAGGGTTTAACGTCTGGTCAGTATATTGTTACTCTGAAATACTAATTGAAAAACTAAAACAGAATTACTTATTCTTTAACTTAAGAAAATAGGTTCTTTCAACAGTAACATTTTTTTGCTTTGATTATGTCAGCCATCTCCTTCGTAATAGTCTTCCTGTAATGCTCTGAAAACAGGAGATCATCTTCTTGTCTTCATTTCCTGGAAGCAGCTCTTTGAAGGTGTCCAGAAATGCTCAGAAATTACAGTTGTTCTTGCAATAGTTAATCATGGCGAAAGCCTTTTCAAACTTGGTGAATCTCTTCTTGACATTCTCATAGTCGGTGATGACTCTATTCATTGTGGTCACTTAAAAAAAGAACAAAAACAAAAAACAATGTCATCATATTCCAGCATTTATTTAAATACCATTTCAAAAATGTCCCTTGCTGCACACTGTCAGACTGGCAAACAAATGTCTAGTTAACATGACTGGTTGTTCTAAAGTGCAATACAATTATTTCTTAATAGAAGTAGCATAATAACTAAAGCTGAACAAAATTATTCTGATCAAATATTTGTCTGGCAGAAGTTCAGACAGACTGCCACTAACATATAGTTTTAGGCACATGAATGCATCTTTTTACTTAATGAGCATTCTAAATTATTTCTAACTAGATACTCGAACTTATGGTTGTTTGCAAGAAGCTTATTAATAAATAAATAGATTTAACATCAGTTTTAGTTGTCTAAAACATAGCTTAACTCAGCTGGTGAATGTTGATTCCTGCTCCCCATTTCCAACTTACCTGACTGTCCCACCCCACTTCACATGGTGAAAATATTAACACAAATACGACTTACCTAATTTTCTTGAGGAATATTTCATCTGCTTCTTTCTCTTTGGTCAAACAGGAACTTCTTTCTCTGGTGGCAGGTCCTTATTATCATCCTCCACACTCGTAGCATGTCTTCATTAGCCAACTTTGTCCCCCCACCATGTGTCCTTAGGCTAACATGGGTCTTCATGTGGCTAAAGTTGCCAAAGCAAAGAACTGTGTCACATCAGCCAAGTTGCTAAATAATGCATGTAAAGGATAACTTTGACTAACATATTAGCTTTTAATTTGCTAGATTAAAATTGGAGGGGAAAATTAATTTGACTGTCTTTAAAATATGTTTAATATTAAGGGCTAACGTTACAGTAATGGAGTTTAATAACTTTAGCTAACATTAACTTACAGCAAGGTAGGATTGGCTTGAATTGTTCATAGCCAACATTACAAAGAAAGAGAACATAGTCAATGTTATTTTCCCCAAAGAAAGTGTAAAGTTAATAAGACACATACCTCATATGGAAGATTTCTTCTTCACCAACACACTGCACGCCTGTTCGTGCACTGCTGCCTCTCACTGGTGGAGATGGTGTATTGCACTATTTAACCGCTGTGTTTAGAAATGGGGTCCAACCGACCCCACACACGTAAAACTTTTATCATTTGCCATAGTTCTCTATGTTTGCCTCAGTCCTCGCACGCATAAGGGTTAAAACAGCCTTAAATAATGTTTAAAATGCTAAGTTCATAAGTGCTTTGTAGACATCTTGCTGTAAAACTTTAGGATCAGTTAAATTAAGAAATTAAAGAGTAAACAACATGGCAGAGCTTTATAATATTACTACATAAAGTTAATTTTTAAAGTTTAATCAGTAATGCTTTTATAACAAATTTATGTCAGATCATGATTTCTTGGTTAATGACAAGTTGTCATAACAAAGACAATTTGAATAATGTCAACTTTGTATTAAAAGTGTCATGATTTACCGAATGACACTTTATGACAACAGTCATAAATATTCATGAAGACTTATTAATGTTCATGACAGGTGTTATGTCATGTTTATGACAGTGTCATGACAGTCTTATTCACCCCCCTTCAAATAAAGTGTTACCACTGTCTTTCAGCTGGAACAAGATATTTAACTCCAGACAGTACAATGAATAGGTTTCATTTCTTAAACAACTATGTGGAAAGGCACATCCTGTGGTTCTTCTTATGGCTGTGCAGCATTAGTGAGGCTAACTGGAGAAAAAGGCTTCAGTTTATTAGGAAGCATAACAATTGGACTCTAGACTGATGGAAGAAGGTCATGTGGTCTGATGAGTCCAGATTTACCCTCTACCAGAGTGATGGGTGCATCAGGGTAAGAAGAGAGGCAGGTGAAGTGGTTACCCATTATGCCTAGTGCCTACTGTACAAACCTGTGTGAGCAGCGCAATGATCTGGGGTCGCTGCAGTTGGTCATGTGTAGGTTCAGCAACACTATGAGGTCAGCTGACCACCTGAATGACCATGTTATTTGATCAATGGACTGTTGCTTCTCTGAAGACAGGGGATACTCCGAAATGCCAATGTCAGGAGGATTTATTAGGTTAAAATTATGAAAGGCGCAACCTCCACAGAGTCCAGACCTTAACCACAGTCAGAATCTGTGTGATGTTCTGGAGAAAGCTTTGCCCATTGGTTGGATTCTCCCATCATCAACAAAAGATCTTGGTGAAGAATTAATGCAACAATGGAGGAAATAAATCTTGTAACATTGCAGAACCTTATTGAAAAAAAGTCACAGCATATGTGTTCTAATCAAAGTTAAAGGCAGTCCAAGGAATTAGTGTGTGATCTTTATAATATATTTCATAGCTTCATTCCATTTAAGAGCAATATTAACTTAATATAACTCTAGAATCTTATTTTCTGGATAATAAGTGAGCTATTACAGCGGTTACAATATCTTATGTGTTTTATTAAACAAACGAGGCAGCAAGGTGGCTGAAGTCATCCCACTGCTGTTACTCTCCTGACTCGAAAAGTGAGGTATTCACAGCTCATGTGAATTGATTTACGTATGTTGAGGTAACCCACACTCCAGCTGTGTATCAAATACAGCCGGCTGGCAGCACAGTTGGTTTTGAGGGCCCAGGCCTTTAGTGCTGTGAAAGATACTAAAGACCTGGGCCCATATTCACAAGGAATCCTGAGACTGGAAATGGTTCCTAGTGACATAATTTTAGGAAAATTCTTAGAATTTATGGAATCCTACAATTTATCTCAGATTTTCACCTTGGTAAGATAAAGGTTATTCACAAAGCATCTCAGGCTTTAAGAGAGCTCCTAACCGGCTGTCTGAGAGACAGGTTCTTGGATATGGAATCATATCCAAGAATTTAGGTTTGTCCCTACATGCAACCTGTGTCCAGATATGCATTATGAAGCTGTTGTTTTCTCCTTAGCCAACCAGCAGTTCTGGTCTGCAGTGCAACTGAGGGCAGCAATTGTGTTATCACAGGTCTTTTTAAAGCATCGGATGGATGTGATAGAGAAGTTTCTGGTGGTTAATAAAGCAGGAATGAGTCAAAAGTGGACACCAGAACTAAAATCTCTCTGTACCTTGGAAGTGAAAGTCAGAGGCCTTTGTTACAAGAATGTCTGCTACTGGAGTTTTCTGCTCACAGCATGACCATCTACAACAACTCTGATGGTACATGTACTATATGAGTAACAACAACATTTAATTTGCATTTAAACTGAACAAAGTATTTTTGAATTGAACTGAATAAACAGGGAGAATTACCTTCACAAGTATCCCCATATCTACTGGGCTCCCCATTTTGGCCGAACATGAGGAAACATGACACCCCTTCAACACACAGGCACTCTTTAGCCTTAAAACAATGTTGTCTCTCATTTGGATTGAAACTAGTGTCTCATTTCTTAATGGATCCCTTTGGATGTTGGCAGAACGTAAAACTGAGCTGAGATACTTCTAACAGGAAAGCATGTTAGATTGATTGTTTAATTTTTGTTCTTAGTATCTCTCTCTCAAAACAATTGTCAATTCAGATGGCAAAATAGATTAGCTCTTTGAGGGATTTAAGTTTGTCCCGACATGCAAGTTTGTCCTTTACTTCAGAATTGAATAACTCCGTATTTCAGACATTGTAGGAACCATTAAGAGGAAACTGCAAGCATCATTCTGTTAAATTCAGTGAGACTTGTTTTCTTGTTTAGTGTTCCATAAATGTAGTTTCTTTGTGATTTCTGTTTTATTTTCTTCATGTAAAAGGCTGTTGAAATTCAGGTCGGGTGTAGACATATGGATGAAGTCTGTCTAAAGCAGGTCAGAAAGCTTGAGGAACGTTTGTTGTTTAGCTTGTGACTCAAACCGGTAACGGGTCTAACGCTGGACTTGGAAAAACTCTGTTGTTGACTGAGGGACTGGAAAGCGGCTTCATATTTAGCAAATAATTTCTAAGTATCTCTGCTGGGTCAGACTGGGCTGATGATTCTGTCATGTCCATGTTTACCTTCCTGATCAACATGTAGACATCCTTCAAAAACTTGGATGCAAGAAAGTGTTGGTTTATTTACAAAAGTGTTTTATTTGCAATTTGGAAATGTGCAAATATATGTAGTGGATCAATAGAAGAGGCAGTAGATGGGACAAGGACGTCAAGGTAAGAATATTGTAGAGTGAATGGCTTTTTCTCACAGATTTCAGTTAGTTTAGCTCTGGAGGAATACAGCTGGCGGTTGGTGGTTGTTTGAGGCATCTGGTAATGGTAAGAACTTTCCAGAAGAGGCTGAACTGCCTTTTGCAGATCAGACATGGAGTGGAGCTGCAAAGAAAGACTGTGTAGTACTTGACTGCTTCCAGAATGAGGATCTGTCTAGATATCCAGGCTTGGACTTCAGAGAGCACAAGCCAGTTCAGTTTACTTATCCCTAAAAATCAGCTAGGTGTTTTTTTTCCCCTTTGAACTATTTCTAGCAGGAGCAAATACTCGTATGGATGTACAGAAAAACACAAAAGTGAATTTTGCATAATAGTGGCCCTTTAATATACTTACCTCTCCGTATCAGGTTTAAACCAACTAGAGGGCAGAAAGTGACTGGTGGTATTTAACCCAAACGAATTAGGTCAGCAAGTGGCATGTACAGTTAACTGTGAAGTAATTCAAACTGTTGGGGAAGGTGAAGCACATTATCAAGTCAATTGTTTGATTGGAACTACCTGATCTTTTTCATTGTTTTGGTATGCATTCATTGTACACTACTCCCATGCAAGTCCCACAAGCTAGGATGTGTACCAACACTAACAGAACAGGTGTGGCTCTTTAAAAAGCCTTACAGAGACTATGAGAAGAAAATGTTCTAATTAGCATGTTATCAGTTGTTTTTACATATTACCCCTAACTTAATATTGAATGAAATATCTGATTGAGTTACAGAGTGAATAAATTAGCACTTAACAGCAATTTGTCAAACTTATGGAAGTACAAACAATGACATCACAAGTTAGGTGTTTTCTCTCAAAGATCAAAAATTCCTTTTTAACAATTCTACAGAAATATTGCGTTCCTTTATCATATCAGCACTTCCACCTTGATTTCCAATGATCTGGGCTCAGCATTTTGACAAAATGAAATAGATCCCTTGCTATTTCAGCTTTATGGTTACTAAACTATGCAGCTGGGTTTCTGGTTCCTTTTAAATACCCTAAACTTTTCATTATGTTGCATTCAAGCTGCTCTTCTCTCTCTTGAGAGGCATTTTTGCAATGGACAGAAAGCATACTTTCTGACTATTACAAGACTATCCCTGCAGCCATTTTAACTTTGGTCTTCAGCAAAAACCTCTGAAGGCATTACAAACACGTAACCCATATTTTTACACCAATCTGACAGCATCTGCATTGCACATTTTACAAGACCAGACTAAAAAAGGTATTTCCAATTAGTTGCCTCAGATGGTAAAATTTCTATGTTTAATTTGCAATAAACTATATTGCTTAGTGAATGTTTTAAAAAAGTGGATGAAGCTCTTTGCTTAAATTGCCTTCTTTGAAATATCTCTTTCAAGGCTTGAGCTGCTCGAGCCTCGAAGGATTATGAAATGACTTCAGAATTTAAGTCAACTAATATAAAGAAAGACAATGGCATTTGTGATCTTGTACACTTTAAATAAATGAAACCAGTGACTGAAAATCAAGTTATATATATATTTTTTTCTAATTTTGTCATGTTACAATAACTATAACTTATACATTATAATGGAATTTTATATGATAGCCCAACGCAAAGTAGCTCATTACTATGAGTTACAAGAAACGGGATGTATTGTGCATGGTTATTGGGCAATTATTAATGTACAGAATTATTATGTACACTCATAATTAAAACAGAACATTTTCTTACCTCACTTGTTTATTGTCATCCGTCAAGGTGAGAATAATAAACATACAACTCAAAATTGACAAACATTTCTGACATTTTAAGAAAAAAAATCTGTGACCAATATAGCCACCCTCTTTTCAATGTCCATTTTAAGCCTTCCATTCATGGAGTCTGTCAGTTTCTTGATCAACTATTTGTGCAGCAGCAATCACAGCCTCCCAGACACTGTTCAGAGATGTGTTCTGTTTTCCTTCACCATAAAACTCCCATTTAAGAAGGCCCCACAAGTTCTCAAGGAGGTTTAGGTCCTCCTCTGGTGAGGAAGGGGGCCACTTCATTATTTTTTAATCTTTAAAGTGATCAAGGATTAGTTCAACATGTTGGCCTAGATATGTTGTAATTGTCCTATTAGCTAAAAAAATTACTGTTACGCCAAAACTCATTATTTTTAAAAGTATATCTTTTGTTATATTTTTCGCCGATGGAGGTCGTCATTTTTTCACGTGTTGGGTTGATAATGTCATTAGGTCCATTCTGTACTGGAACCTAGAGAGTAAACAAGACAGGCTAACTTTACCCAAGTTATTTATCATATTGCATTTGACTAGTGTACTTTTAGATAATGCCACACTGTGTCACTGATGGTTATAATAAAAAAAGACAAAACAAACAGAAACAGAAAAAGAAACAAAAACAGTGAGATGGAAATGGATCATTTCCTACACGAGAGCTTGAGATGAACACAATTTCTGAAGGACCTACATTTGTGCCCCCAATATTTCTCTCCAGAAGACTGAATCATTTGTACAAGGAAAACTGACAAAGGCTCTAACATGTGATCGTTGCCTTTGCAAATGCTGTGCCAACAGTTTCTAGCCACAAAGTGCCTAAACTCTGCTGCTGCCGGAGCGAAAAGCACTGGGAGAAACATCAGACAGACACTGCATGAAGGTCTTTAAGATTCTAATGGAACTCTGCAGCAGTAGTACCAATGGTACTACTGCCGTTGAAAGACTTGACCCTCAACAGCTGTTGCTGACCAGGACACAGAACTTTAGAAGTACTTACTTGATCACACAGTCTGACCAGAGGTATGTGTCATACATTGTTTCATTTATGAAGCTGAAGTTGGCAACCCAAACACCAGCTCCTACGGCCAACTCTATCCTCTTCCTCTGTTTGGTCTTCTTCATCTTCATTACCTCTTGTGATTTTTATATTCCCATCAATGTCAACGTGCTCCGGTTGAAAGGCTTAATGACATTTCATCTCTGTTTTGGCTGGACAAAGCTAGCCAATTATGTTAAATGGTGGAGATATATACAACAAACTGTTGTGTTAGCAAGCACTGAGTGGTTTGTTGCTATGTTGCTTGAACAATTTTCAGAGAATTTCCTTTTTTTCCCCCATATAGTTTTAATGGCACAATTCATAGATGTTCTATGCTAATCCATCTTATAATGTAGGAGGATTTGTTGTGGTGTAGCAAAAAATCTAAGACATTGCCAGTGTAAAAGTGATGGAGAATCAAGCAAGGATTAAGTTATATAATGTTTTTTAGGAAAGGGGCCTATAGTTTAGGAATTAACCACAATGTATTTTAATTTTCAATAGAGGTCAGGACTCATTAGTCTGAATTGCAGTCGGGTTTTTCTACCAGACTACCTTATCAGAGTTTTTTTGAGCAAAACTGCAAAATAAGTTTTACCATAGGAGAAGAAAAACTTTCAAGGATGAAAAATCCATATAGTTACAATATGGTTCCCTGCTGCACTGGGAGCAAGCAAAGCCTGCAGTTCTGCAGGCTTGTAACGCTAGGAAAAATTAACTAAAAACTTAACTAAAAAAGCACTGCTTTTGAATCATTTAAAAAACAAACTCATGAAACAGGTCTGGATAAAACTGATGGTACCTGTAACTTAATATTTTGTTGCTCAATGTTTTGAGGAAATAAATGCAATCAAACCATTTCTGTAACTATCAGTTAGACTTCTGCACCTGACCACAGGTATCCTGGTCCACTCTTCATGGACAAACCGCTCCAGCTACCTCCAGTTGAAGGGAAAGCCTTCTCCAGATGTTACAGCTCCACATATGTTCGACAGGATTTAGATCAGGGCTCATAAAAGGCCAGTTCAGTAAAGTCCAATGTTTTGCTCTGGGCCATTCTTAGTCAGCTGTGTGTTTTGGGTTATTATCCTGTTGGAAGACCCATGAGCAAGCTTTCTAACACTAGGCACCACATTTCTCTCCAGAATGCTGTGATAGTCTTGAAATTTCAACAAACCATGCACAGACTCAAGTCACCCTGTGCATTTCTTCAAAGACTTATTGTAGATAGTGATGCTGTTTTCAACCATTCTTCAGAATGTTGCATTGAGAATAACTTCGGATGATGAGCTCAGCAGATGTGGAGCTCCACCAGGTGTTTAATTACTGCTGCCAAAAGTCTCTAGTCTGGTGGAGTTGAGTGGGAGGGACTTGGAGGGTACTCTGTGCAGTGGAAGTTCAGCTTGTGGATTGCTACTCCAAGGAGGAGCTTTGTGGGAATAGGTGGCACTTTTTGAGGAGAATTTAGGCACTCCTGAATGGTTACTAGGAGAGATTCAGTCATTTCTTAAACATGCATGAAAAATCAAAGCAACACTCCAGGCATGTCTTTGATGACAGGAATAACATCACTTTCCTCTACATCCTGTTGTCCATGTGTCCAGTGTGCTACACACAGGGTCGTAACTACATATTATTCAGGTGGATGCGAAAACATAAATCGGCGCCCCACCCGAAGGAAGGTACATGAAGGTGAAGGAGATCTCGCGCTACATTTCTCAGGTGGATGCGTACACATCAAACGGCGTGCCGCCCCCTCCAGATGGGGTTTTGACGCCCCCTCTGGTGCAGCGTCCCTATGCGTTGCATGCGCTGCACGCCCACTTTTTGCGCGACTGGCTACACACCACGTCACCAAACAACACAGTGACTATTATCACCCTTTAAATAGGCTGACTGACTGAGTCCTAGCTTGGATACATCTGGAATGCTAATTAGAGGAAACGCCTTAGTTTAATATGTCCCTATGGTCAAAATATTTTCAATCTTTTAAGAGGTACCTTCATTGTTATCATAATCTGTTTCATTAATTAATTTTGTAAATTATTCTTTTGAACCCCAATTGAAAGGCAATCTATTTTCTTATTTTAGTGTGTCAAAGAGTTACTTTCATTTGTAATGACTGACATCTGTTTACTTAATTGTCCTTCACTTTCCTTCGTTGCCACATCTTGGGGAAAACAAGTCTTAGGGCGGAAGGAGAAGATAAGCAAACATGATTGCATCCTCAGTATTGAACCCGATTGTCACAATGTTCAAGGTCTTTGGTGTCACAGGAAAAGCATTGTGTCTTACTTTCCTCCCTACTGTTTTCTGCCTCTGTAGAAGAATAACACGGGATGTTGAGGAATACAACCCTTACAGTATTTATTGTATTAGAGGACATGCTGATCCTATTTCCTTCAGAAGTTGCACCTGGCTGCCACGCGACTCTTACTGTATATGCATGTGTGCAACCAAAATGGTCCTTCCCAACAGGAATTTGAAGGTATCAGCGTCTCTGAATAATCTCACTGTCTCTAGGCTGTCTCTAGTTAGACTGAAACATAGCCATGTAGAACCTTGTTTTCTTTTAACTCTCGGTTTAGACTGACTGCTTGACTTTTTGAAATTTGACATCATTAAATAATAAGCAGCTACAGAGGAAGTTTGATGTCTTGACCCTTTTCTAGTTCAAACACGAGTAACTGAAAATTATGAGTTATCAAAAAGCAACTCTATACACTTGTTTCTCATGTGTTACTGCCTTTATGAAATATAAATGTCAGATCTCACCAGTCTTTAGTAAATTGTGGCTTTTTTAAAAGTTTTTTTTTTATTTTTTATTGGCACTAATGGCCTTTATTGACAGTTATCAGAGGAAAC